ATTATCTGGTCAGACTGAGGGAGGTAGGGAGAGGGCAACAGCACACATTAACCCAGTACCACCCAATTCTGTCTCTTTCTTGCCTTTTTGTCTATATCTACAGATATAGGGGATTATCGCACCTAGAAATCCCACCGGGATAGACACAGGATTGAAAAGTCAAACACAGGTGTTATTGCACACAGCCACAGCTGGGCAAGTGCAGCCCGTATGCAGCCCGGGCCCCAGCCATGCTTATCGAGCAAAAATGGGAGCTTGCCTTAACTCTCTCTTTTCTTGAAGGGAGTAATGGAGAAAGAGTACACAGGTCCACAAACCTGTCTGGGCAGGTTTCCTCTTCTACTAGACGCTATCCAGAAATGTCGAGTTGTGGAGTTGGGAAAGTTGCAGGTCCAGATGGACTACCCACGGAATATTATAAAACATTTAAGGAAGATTTACTACCACACTTATTAAGTGTATTTCACAATATTGAATATAGGGTCAGTCCGAAAACATGGATGGAGGCTAACATCAGTCTAATACCTAAGGAAGGCACAGACACAACAGAGGTTAAGAACTTTCTTCCTATCTCTCTGCTTAATGCAGATTATAAGATCTTTGCCTCAATATTGGTGGATCGTTTAAAAGGAATTTTGATGAAATTGATTTCTTTTTTCTTTTTTTATTAATCTTTTAAAACAAAGTTGTATACAAAGATTATTATAAATTATATGTAGCTCTCTTCTTAATGTATTAAAGACAGCATTGCTTCATACAAAATAAAATATTCCCGATATTCAGACGTTATTATAAGTTGCTACCTAATTACCTACATATACCATCTATATGTTAAAGTCTTTTTACATATCGATTCCACTTCTTAGAGTTAAGTGCTCCTTTGTTAGCTCCTCTGTTGGCACCAATTTCATTTGCTGCTTCTTCTTCTTTTTTTTGGGGTGTTCCTAAGTCATAAATTCAAAGATATATTATTCTTTAATTACAACTTAAATTCCCCATATTTTATCACAATATGTATAAAGACATTTCCATTTATCAGCTCTATCATTCACCGGTGTTCCTTCAACTATATCTACTAAATTTTCCATATTTGCTATTTCAAGCATTGTTAGTAACCAGGAATCTAGAGTAGGTATCTCATCAGATTTCCATTTACTTGCTATTAATAACCTAGCAGCAGTTACCATGTAATCAGGGGGGAAATGCTTAAAAAGAAAAAGACGAAAAGT